GAGGCGCTGCACACTTTCCTCTGACTGTTGCACCCTGTCATCACCTTGGGAGTGTTCCTGGATTAGCTGCCTGGGGAATGAAACACGCAGAGCGACACAAAGGCTTCTCAGTCACCTTAAACGTGGCCGGCATAGGCCAGCTAACAAACGCTGATCTCTATCTGAGGCAGCCCATGGCTCTGTGGATTAGTAATGTTATTTGACTTTGTGACACGTGTATCACCTGTATGCATTAACGTTTTGGAATTTTGTATTTTCTTAAGGTCAATTTATATTGATGTCCAACACATGCTGCAGATGGCAGCATGGTTTCAGTTGGGTGCAAGCATATCAGATAAGTTTTTAAGTATAGTATTTAAATTGTCTATCTTTGCTTAATTTTGGTCCACTTGATCTGATGGCTTTTTAGAGGTTTATATTATATTTTCTTAATAGGATTTTTCAGTTTCATCTAGTGGCATCTATCAGTTTGAGGTTTATATATTTTCAAATTTATAAATATTAAGTATATGTTTCATGACTGCTCTTTCTGTTGATAATTAGTTTTTATCATTTTAAAGATTTTCGTTTTACCTGTTTTCATAATGTTAAGGTCATTTCACTTTTAAAAAGTTTATGCTGGAGATTTATCTACCTTATTAACTATTTAAGACAATCTTGTTTTGTTTTAAAAAAATTCCAGAGGATTTAAAACAAAAGGTCTGAAAAATCTTTTTTCTCTTTTATAAAAAATGCTTGAACCTTTTTGAAAAAATTAATGTAAATGGAAGAGCTGTGAGATTAAGAAATGAGAAAATGTGAAGGTACTTCCATAAATTTGTGGAAAATGTGACCCTAAGTTTATTTGGAAATCCATGCATATGTGAGGCCTGTAGAGTGTTCAAGGAATATAGATAATAAGTAAAAACTATGCACTCATTTCAGTTTTTTTTTTTTCACCAAAATAAAATTACTCTTTGGTTTCCTTTCTCCTTGAATGTTTCTGAAGTTCATTCATATTAAATATAAAATTTAAAAGGAATACCTGCAACAGTGGCAGAACTTATCTTATGAATAATTGAAATCATCAGTAAAATCCTAGGTGAAACAGATGTTTCTAAGAGGAATATACAAAATTTCAAAATTGGTGGAGGAAAAGGAAAACTCATACAGACTAAAACACCCTCAAAGCCTTAGCAGCAGCCAAACAAGTTACCCAAGTGGAACTGTAGACAGCCACAGGTAGAGGTAATGCTTTTAAAAGTAATTCTGGGTACAGGCTTGCTAACTACTGTTGTCATACTAGTGTACATTTGAAACTTAATGATAAATAAAATCACAATACTTTTCATAAATAGTCGCAGAAAAATTCTACACCAAATAGTTGTATTATCAAAAAATAATACTGAACCACTGTGACCAAAGTTGTATCCCAGGAGTGCGGGGCTGTTATGAACTCCGAATCGGAGCTGGTATAGAGCCAGTCCCGATGGAATGCACAGGTAGTGCTGTTTGTACACAAGCTGTCGTTGCTATGGTGCTAGTGGAGCAGCTCCTTCCTACATCACTTGACCAGGAGTTGCATTCATTGACTTCATAATGTTGAAGAATCCCTGCCTTTCCTGGAAAATTAGCAACTTGACCATGATGATTTTTTAAGTATGTTGTGGGATTCAGCGTATTAATGTTCTATGTAGTATTTTTCTATTAATTTTTAATAACTGGCTACTAATTTTGTACTTTCTCATTACATGTTCAGTTTGGGTATCAAAGATAGAATAGACTCTTATTTTGCTCATTAATTTTCTGTTCTGTAGAAGAGCTTATATTATTTTGTGATTATTTCTTGAGTGAACATAGGAACTACCCTTTAAAATTATTGGTGTCCAGGTTTTCTTTTGGGTGAAAGAGAAAATTGTGTATTTTTATTAAATTTCTAACTAGCCATTGGCAGATTATTTTTAAACTGGTTTTAATTAGTGATACCATTCTAAGATATAACTTTTCAAATTTGTTGGTATTCCTTTTAATGTATATCATTGGTTTATTATATGAATCTAAAAATATCCATTATATCTCTAGTAAAGTATCATTTTGTTACCACAAATGTCATTTTTAAAGGATCTCTCTTATTCAGAATTATTTTTTTGCCTTTTATTACTGGAAGTTTGTCTCTAATGTTAGACTTTTCTAAGATGATGATAAAAATATTTAAGAACCAGCATAGCATAGACACCAAGCACAGAGATCATTGCTTGATTTTTTTTTTGAGCTATATATCATGTAGAACACTATTTTTAATTTTTTAAAGGAAATATGTTTAAAGTGTTTTTGTGGCTGGCACCGTGGCTCAATAGGCTAATCCTCCGCCTTGCGGCACCGGCACACCGGGTTCTAGTCCCGGTCGGGGTGCCGGATTCTGTTCTGGTTGCCCCTCTTCCAGGCCAGCTCTCTGCTGTGGCCAGGGAGTGCAGTGGAGGATGGCCCAAGTGCTTGGGCCCTGCACCTCATGGGAGACCAGGAGAAGCACCTGGCTCCTGCCTTCGGATCAGTGCGGTGCACCGGCCGCAGTGCGCCAGCCGTGGCGGCCATTGGAAGGTGAACCAACGGCAAAAGGAAGACCTTTCTGTCTCTCTCTCTCACTATCCACTCTGCCTGTCAAAAATTAAATTAAATAAATAAATAGTCTTTGTATCAGTACCCAACTTACATGTGTTGTAGTCCAATTTTAACATCTGTGTGATCCTTCCAATTTATCACACTGGGAAACTTTTGAGACATTGTCAACAAGGACGGAAAAACTGCCATTTTCAATTCTTGAACTTAGTTACTGAATCTTCTCCACGTTTGACCTGGCTATGCGGACTCCCAGCTTGAGATGCAGTTCAAATCCCCAGCACCTACACATTCGTACATGGCTGGATTTTCTCCCGTGAGATCTGAAGGAAAGTGAAGCACGTATTACAGCTCCATATTCTTAAAACTGATTTTGGTCTATCTGCAGATTTTTTTCCTCCCTTTTTACAAGATAAAAACTGGCTTTGCTTCTTGGGAGCTACCTAACACATCAGATATATTTAGTATGGTTGCCTCCCCAACCCCTGGAGGCCAGTCCCTGGGTGACCTCATTGAACAGAATCCATCAACACACTCAAGAGTATTTGTTTTGCTCTACTTTTTATCTCATGGTGACAAAGGTTTATCTTCCAACAAATACATCATACTTGGCTCATCTCTTTCCAGTTCTTCTTGGCTTTGCCTATGCAATATATCTAGAACAGTCGTTGTCAACCAGGCTTGATTTTTCCTCCAGGAGAATACTTGGCAGTGTGGGAAGACATTGTGGTCATCACAGCTGAGGAGGACCGTGGCTGTGGAGAGCATCTGTGTAGTAAAGACCAGTTCTGCTAAATACCCTAAGACGCATACGAAGTCCTGCAGCAAAAACTTAGCCACGCCCAAATGTCAGTAATGCTAGGGTCCAGAAACCCTGTTCTAGAATCCAACCACCCCTCACCACCTTGTCTACTCTTGCCCACTGGCATCTTCCGTCACCTGGATTGTCCCTACACCACACCACCTAGATTCCCCAGTGCTGTTCTTGCCTCCTAACAACCTGTTCTTTCTGCGGTTCCCTGAAAATGGCGTCTCACTTGTCTGCTCCACCTCTTCTGACCGTCTCTGATGTCACTCAGTAAAACGGGCCCCTAGTATCACGTCAAGGTGCTATACCATTGGTGCTCTCATCTGTGTCTTGCTTTACCCCAGTCTGAGCACACTGGCTTCCTGTTCAACAAAGAACAGGTTTGCAAAAAAGGAACAGCTGGATAGCTTCTTGCATCAGGATTTTGCCCCTTCTCTTACTGTCTGGAGCACTCTTGGTACAGAAGTCTCCGTGGCTTGCTGACTTCTTTCAGGCCAGTGGAAAGTTTCTGGATTCTGCTGTTTGCAATGGAATCCTACTCCTGTCCCAAACGGCTGCTTCTCTGCCTTAACTGTTTCTCCCACCACGCACATCATCGCCAGCCACAAAGTGCATTTTTCTCTTTCTGTTCATTTTCTACCTCGCACCAGTAAAATATAATCTTTGTGAGGACAGCAGGTTTTATCTATTTATTATGAATCACTGATATATTCACAGGGCTTAGAATCATACCTGAAACATAGTAAGAAATCAGCAAGTAAGTATTTGTTGAATGAATAAGTAAATGGATGAATAAATGAACTACTGAGCATGATTATCTTGGCCTTCCTTACTGGTCTACCTTGCCCCTTGTTGAAAGTAATTCATGTCTTGTTCTTTAGGCCTATTTCTTGCTTACAAGGTTCCTGCTCTGGCTTAATTACAGAGCGTTTTCAAAGATGGTTTAGGTACGAAGTCTTACAGGACACTTTCTTTGCAACGTTGTCATGGGCTCAGTTTGGTTTTATGCTGGGACTCTTCAGCTCCCAAGGCAGCTGGGTCTAAGGTTTTCGGGGAATAACTTGCCATAATGCTCCTCTCCCTCTAGGTCCACGCAGAACTTTTGTATTTCTAGGCTTTGGTGCTATGACCGTGAGCATCAGCAGTTTGATGCATTAACTGTTTAGAAACTTCAGTAGTCACAAGTGGAGGTTATTTAAGAAGATGTGCTCCTAAACATTTAAGCGTCTGTACTTTGACCTATTTTTCTTATTTAGGACCCCTGTGATACGCCCTAGTTTTATTTGTAAAAAGAACAGGAGGATATGTTACCTTATAGTGTTTGACTAAGGTTGCATTTCTGTTGTTCAAAGTTACTTTTACCTACAAATAGGTTTTTTTTTTTTTTTTTTTTTTTTTTTTTTTTTTTTTTTGGACAGGCAGAGTGGACAGTGAGAGAGAGAGACAGAGAGAAAGGTCTTCCTTTGCCGTTGGTTCACCCTCCAATGGCTACCGCGGCCAGCGTGCTGCGGCCGGCGCACCGCGCTGATCCAATGGCAGGAGCCAGGTGCTTCTCCTGGTCTCCCATGCGGGTGGGTGCAGGGCCCAAGCACTTGGGCCATCCTCCACTGCACTCCCGGGCCACAGCAGAGAGCTGGTCTGGAAGAGGGGCAACTGGGACAGAATCCGGTGCCCCGACCGGGACTAGAACCCGGTGTGCCGGTGCCGCAAGGCGGAGAATTAGCCTAGTGAGCCACGGTGCAGGCCTACAAATTGTTTTAAAGTCACAGAAAATTGAACAATTGCTGTAAATTTCTGGATTGGTCTCCCCTCTCCCCCCAAAAAAAATGATCTGTGGAAATCCATTTACCTCAATGCCTTCGTGCAGTTAAAGGTTACTTATATTATAAATTATCTTTAACATGCTAAATGTAGACAGTTTCTATGTCACGGCTCTGAACCATCCCATTCAAGAGAAAATATTTGAGTAGAGTCCTCTGTACTCCCAGTATACCAGGCGCCTTATCAAGTGTCCACTTAAGTCAGCATAAGTGTACCTTTTTGTAGGTCTGACTCCAGATAAATTATCAGGCGAGCACATAAATAGCAGAAATACTAGGTACTTTTTCAAGCTATCAATGAAATCCCATTATTATTCTTTTTAATCCTAGCCTTTACTGCAACAAGCATTTTATGCTCGGTGCATACACTTGGTGTAGGATTTAATTTAGAAAGGTAAATTACAGTCTGTATGTATTATTTGAGAAACATTTGGCTTCAATTACTAGGGAACAACTTAATGCAGTAGCTTTTATCTGGAGTATGTACGTTTGGATTTTATGAAGTAATTTTATAGTTTTGATGTAACAAAAAAACAAAGACTTCCTTCAAGTGACATGATTAAAAGGACTCTGTGATCTGCTATTCGTCAGTGCCTGACTGGTGGATTTCTGTTTGTTTTTCATGTTAACAGAACCCTGACACTCTGCTATTGTTTAGTGAGAAGAGCCATTGCTCTTGAGTTCCTTTGCTGTGACGTGGAATTCAAAATCTTTGAGGCCTTGAATGGATGTGAAATGGAAATCAGTGTCACCAAGTGTGTGTTCTCAAAATTAAGATGAATCTAGGAGATCCTCTTTTTTGGCCTCTGCATGTCTTGCTATTTGAGGAGCAAGGTCAACTATAAATAGAAAAACTTAGAAGCTTGTTTGAAGGTGAACAAATGAATACTTCCTAGAGAAATGGTTTAATTTTTTTCATGTGATCACATTCCAGAGATTCATTAAACTGTATTTGTTGGAAAAAACTATGAATTATTTTAAATTTTCACTTTTGCACTAAAGTCCTTAACTTCTTGCCCTGTTTTTTTAATCTGTTGTATAGTTTGACAGCCAATGCAATTTGTTCAGATTTTCTTAACAATTGAGTGCTTTATTAATAATAAAACAAACTTTCAGTTGTGCAACAACTATTTCCACATGTTGTCCACAAAAACTAAAAATCAATCTTACAACAGACTATTACTTTCCAGATTAGGGAAAATTGATGGTTGCGGTTTTTTCTTATCAAGTGTCTCTGGTAGCGTCTCCTTTGTGAGGGTACTTTGGTTTTACTAAGTAAGTAATGGAAAGACAATTCCTGGCTGCCTTTCTGAAGTGCACTATGACCTAACAAAAGGCCACTGTGTCATCTGTCGTTTGTGAGCATAGGACTTCATCAGTTACTCCCACCGACAAGGGAAAGGAGGGTTGGGACCACAGAAACATTTTCAGAAAAACTTCTCATCCTGAGGTGAGCAGTCTTCAAAAAATCTAGGTAGGGCCATGGAAATGCTGTAAATCTTTGTGTGATTTGTTGTTAAAATAATGCAGATGGTATTTCTGAGATACAGTAATGTGCTTTATTTTTTGCTCTTTCATGAATACGATCTTTCTCTTAGTCAGAGCCATCTGTTGGCTTAAGAGCATTTTTGTTATTGTTGCAATAAAGCAAACACAGAGTCCATGCTCAAATTTTGATTTCCCAAATGACCTCTGAATCATAGCTAAGGAACATTCTTGAAAATTAATCTTTGCTGAGAAAAAAAGAGGAGTTTCTAAACTCATACTGATGCTTTCTAAAAAATCTTGCACATATGGGTGTAGGGCTTCTTGATAAATCATTGTATAGTGTAAACACGGGGTATTTCATATGGGATGGTGACTTTTGGAAAGAACCATACAAAAAGGAGCTAGAGAGACTTAGTGAGCATCAAAAACCGTGTTCATGAGCCTGGGCTTGCAACAGAGCCCGGTCCTACAGCTTCCAAACAGCATTCCAGACCTCAGAACATCCGTATTCCTAGTGTGAGACATGGCGGTGTCAGGAAAATCAGTGGCAACGTTTGCAGCTTGGACCCAGCCTAAGGAGGCCGTTGTGGCTTCAAGTTTTAGGGACGGCAGACTCCATCATGAGTACTGGTACTGACAGTCCAGTGATCAGTTGGATGAGCCACATATTGATGGAACTGGACTCAGGGTCCTAAGGAATCATTGGTACCATGGAGATCACCAAGGGTCCAGCACAAAGCCCTAGAGATCAACAAGAGAGCACAGCACAAGTCCCACAGTTGTTTTCCCAGTCATCTTGCCACACCTGTTTGCAATAGCCAATCTGAAGTGGAAGGAGATGAAACACAGGCCCTTTGAGAGGAGAGAGGGTCAGCTCAGATGGAGTTGAAAGGGACAATTTAAATTAAAATCGGTCTTCTGATAAGAATTGCCAGTGAAAATACAGTGGGAAGTCCCCGTGTCAGGAAGTAGTAGTTTAAGTTGGGCTTGTGAAGCCATGAAGAAGGAAACACCAGGCAGAAGGAACAGCCTGCAGGAAGGAGAAAAGAGGAACCGGGTTGTTGGTTTTAACATACCTGAAAGAGAACCAGCATTGGTGAGTTGCGGCAAGCACCAGAGAGCACAATAAAAAACTAGGATGGACAGGTTGTCTCCACGGCTGTGTGGAGGACACAAAAGAGCAAGGGTGGCAAAGGATGCTGTTAGCCCCAGGATGCAGGCAGGTGACAGCCATTGGAACGCCTGAAGAGTAAACACAGAGGACAACCGTGGAATACACGACGGCAGTAAAGTGGACAGTCTCAGGAAGGTCGCGGTAAAGACACAGGGCAACTTTCGACATTAGTGCAGCAAAAGGTGGAGATTTTGGATTTTTCTGCAGTTGGGTAGAATCTTGGCATTCATGAATAGCCAGTTGTAATGTACAAAAGTATGGTTCGATCCATGCCCTTCACATAATACGCTGATTGAGCGAATCCAAGGACCATAGATCCTTGAAGTTGGGGCCTTGAGCAAATATGTTAATTGTTGATACCTACACTCATAAGCCAGAAAAGTGATGTCAGGTCAGAAACTCAGTGAATCAGAACAGGTGAGGGCCAGTGCCGCGGCTCACTAGGCTAATCCTCTGCCTTGCGGCGCCAGCACACCAGGTTCTAGTCCCAGTCGGGGCACCAGATTCTGTCCCAGTTGCCCCTCTTCCAGTCCAGCTCTCTGCTGTGGCCCGGGAGGGCAGTGGAGGATGGCCCAAGTGCTTGGGTCCTGCACCCACCCGTATGGGAGACCAGGAGAAGCACCTGGCTCCTGCCTTCGGCTCAGCGCAATGCGCTGGCCGTGGCGGCCATTGGAGGGTGAACCAACGGCAAAGGAAGACCTTTCTCTCTGTCTCTCTCTCTCACTGTCCACTCTGCCTGTCAAAAAAACAGGTGAGGATGGGGAGCTTTCAAAACTTGGCCAAGCAAGCAACTTAGACACAGTCCACGGCCAGCACTGGCCCCTTAGAGCCGGCCTTGCATCTACTGCTCTCGTGTGAGATGGAGATGGCCTGGCGTCTTCCTGGAGCAAGAACGGATCTGCTGGACCTCACAGCTGACTCCCGCGCTCCAATGCCTTCTGACCTCCTCTTAACCTGTTGCTTTACAAACTTCTCCTCCACTGTCTGTAGCTGATTAGGATCCATGGCTGCATGAATTTCAACTCTACAGTGTCACATTCAGGAAAATATATCTCCAGAAGCCTTGGACATAGAGACCTGGGCTTCCCTAAAAATCTTCTCTATTGATTCCCCCTCACTGACACAGAAGCTGCTGCAAGCCTTTTGTGTGGCTCTCCCTCAGGCTGATTTAGGCCCTCGCTCTCGAGCTCATGTTGTTAGGCCCTTACCTTTGTGCCCGACAACAAAAAAGATTCCAGAAATGAGCTGGAGACAAAAAATCACTTCTTTGTACACACAAAAGGCAGTGGAAACTCACACAGTAGGGTAACTCTAAACCCATCACTTTTCATCATTTTTCCACAAATATTAAAATGTCTCCTGTATGGAGATTGTCCCACCCAAAAGTAACATCAGTATAGAAATCAGAAAACCTGGACTCCCATTTGTTTCTTAAAATTTAGCACATTTTCAGTCTGTTCCCTGATCAGCAAATTAGGAATACTTGCTGAACTTGAAGAAAGCTTTAAAAAACCACTTTGGAAAACTACTTTGCTAATTTTAGAAATGTAACATTAGGTAAAATTACATGCACTGGGAGAGGAAGAGTACATGTAATGTGTATCCAGCACCCAGCATCAAATCTGGCACAGAGCTGGCCGGTGATAAATATTTATGGGAAGAATGGAGACAATGAAATAAAAATCACAAGCCAATCATGTTATGCCCTCCTAAAAATACCATTAACTCAATTCCAGTCGCTCCAACTAAGTGATTTGTTTTTAAGATAAGAAACCACACTCAAGATATCAGTCTGAAATAGCTATACATACACACTATGTACACAGACTACATGTATATGTATCTGTGTATACCCATGTACTTTGTACACGTTATTCTTGGAGAAGTTGATATAAGCGAATAGAGGGACAAGCTACCAATAATGCATTTCACTGTTTTTCAAGTGTCATTATCATTAGAGAAGTACTTTAAAGACAAGTCACTGTAATGTTCATTGTGCTGCTTTTGCCTCTGTCGATAGGACAGCAGCCAACAGTTAATGGCAAAGATTCTAATCACCCCCAGGGCCTCGGCATTGCAGGTGTCCCTCTGTAAATTTTGCTTATGTGTAGGAAGGTGTCTGTCTACATAATTTTTTCCCTCTTGTCTTGATGGCATAGTACTCCCACATGGCCTGTCAAAATTAGAGTTCACACATAAGAGTTGATGGTGTTTTAATGAACAAATCATGAAGCTGAACTTCGGTGAAAATAAAGAGACCTTGAAACTGAGAACATCAAAGTCCATTGTGTAAACAAAAGCTGCAGCCCAGGAACTGTGTCTTGGATGGGGAGGTGGCTTTTGATTGAACTGGGAGATGGCAGACATCACAGGAGACAGTATACATTTCTTATCTCTTCTCAATGGCCTGTGCGTTTTGGCTCCTGTGTATCTGCTAAGTGGAAATTCTAATCTTTGAAAGTCCACGTTCTGCCCCCATCTCAGGAAGCTCCCTGTGATCTAAATCCAAGGAGGACTGGAAAGAACTCCAGGCTGTTAGCACATTGATCGTGTGACACCTAGAGCTGCAGCACGGATTGTAGGCTGATTTCCGTCTGAGGATGGAACAGAGGGAGGAATTGAGAGAGGCAAGGAGAGGAATTAATAAAACTGTTTTCTGCTTAGGAAACAAAAAAGTCTTTCAGTCCTTATTAACCACAAAATACTCATGCTTCAATAAATTAAGCAACATTGAGTTCTACTATTTTGGTCCCCTGCCGCCCGCCGGCATCAATTAATCCTAATGAACTCAGAGCCAGTTCTCAGAAACCTTTCTCTGCCTCTCTGAGGGACTGAAAATTGAGGCAGCCTTCCACTTACAGGTGCATATGTAGGTATCATGCTAAATACTTACGGTGAGGGGCTATATACACCTAAGTAGATGCATAGTAACTTAGACACATAGTTAGAATTGTGTATCAAAGATTCTCTTTGATGGCTTCAGATTCAGCCAATATTTGTTTGTAGTGCCAAGTTACGTAATGGTTAGGCACTTTCTACAACACAGCCTTGGTTAACAGAATTCTAGTTAGGAGTTGATGTTGAAGTCCATGCCTTGTGCTAACAGTGGTTTGAAACATGCAAAAATCCAAAACCACAGGGAAATGGGTGCTAGCAGCAGTGTTGATGGTAGCATGGCATTGAAATACTGCTCATTTTCTAATCATAAACTTTGATGTTTATAAATTTTTAAATCATTGCTTGAAAATGGACTGCTTTGGGGTTGTTGGTTTCCTCCTGACTTCTGGTGAGTTTTTCACATGTGCTCAGGTTCAATCATTGTATGATAGCATGGGAGGCGAAGCTGTGTGGCTTATGTGAGAGCCCACAGGCAGAAGAAACCTAAGGAAAGCCCTTCTGTTACTCAGCAACAGAACTGAGACCCCACCAGCACCAACAGCGAAGAAATTGACTTTACATGTTGTTGTAAATAACATAGGCAGAGGTATGGCTACTTTCAGATGAGGCTAATCTGGCACTGCCATGATATTTAAGACCTGTTTTTTTTTTTTTTCCTCCAACCCCTGAGTTACAAATTCCACAACTCAGCTTCATCTGATGCCTATTTCTGGGAACCTAAGATGACTTCCAGCAGCTCCCTGTGCAATCTGTGCGCATCACCAAAAAGGTAAAAAGCAGCTCTCGTAACGTTCCCAGCAAACTCTTGGCCTGGCTTAGATCACATGCTCAGCCTTAGTCCAGTCACTCTGGCAAGTGATATGAAAGTTGCTGATTGGTTTAGACTGGCTTATGGGCTGGGGTAGCGTCCACCTACCCAGAACCTCTGAGTCGCCAAAGAAGACGTAGGGACTGTTGAGAAGGAGGTAGAAATGAAGGACAAAATGAATACTAGGAAAGTCACAGTAACAAAAAATGGTGCACAAGTATGTGATCTCTGGCCATAATGAATAATATTTAGAGAACTGATTTTTTTAAGTAAAGCCTTGCTTAAATTTTAAAAGAGGGAAGACTATTCTGTCAATTAGGAATGTAGGTAACTCTTTTTACAAAGTTGTATACATTCCTATAGGTGATAATGAAATATTTCAAAGGTGACTATTTGATTTTTGCAAATATATGATACTAAACACAGGAATGGGAGAATAAACGGTGAGGCTGTTGATAAAGATATCACAGCATACATGTACTGCGAGAAAATGTGGATTCTGTTTGCTTTGTGATCAAGTTCAAGCAGAAACCAAGCACTTGTTTGTACAGGGTGAGTTCGCGGACTTTACATTTCTGCATTCAGCTGTTTGCTCTGGTCCACCAGTTCCACTCGTGAATGCTTCCTCTGGAATCAGCAGCTTTCCACTTCAAGACTCACCTCCGTTTCCTAACGATGAAGCTTGCTTACCCAAGGGTTACACCTAGATGGTTGTAGAAACTCTAGGTGGAATTACTGATTTTTGCACGCAGATTATAAACACCATCAACTTTGATAGTCTTTAGATAATATGTTCATCAGAAAACAAAACCTTGCCACAGTCATTGTTACATTAATATTACTTTGATTTTATTTTTAAGGATCTTTCGAGATCGGTTCCCCAAAGGTTCCAGAAAATACACAAACACAGAGAAGATTCTAATGATAGTCACATCTTAATGTTTTGAGCATTCTGCATAATAATTAAGATATGCAAAGGAAGTTCAAAAAATTCATGGGAAATGGAATTAAAAGTGCACTTTGGTACAAAAATTTTTGAAATCTTTATGTACCTTTGTATAGTAAGCATTTTCCATGAATTTTTAAAGTGCCCTCATTATTTTGTAGCCCCCACATGTGAGTAGCATTATGCCCAATTAACAGACGGTGAACACTGTTCTTTGAGAACAGTGTGACTTTAGGGACAGCTATCTAATGTTTCTTCTTTATCGCCGCCTCCTGTCTCCTCTCCTCCTTAACACTCCCCTTGCTCTCGCCCCTTCTTCCTCCCCTCTCATTCCCTCCAGTTCCCTTCCCTCCCCTCCCTCCTTCCATCCTTTCCTCCTTCCTCTCTTCTCTAACTTCTCTTTTTCCTCTACTTTTCCTTCTGCCAGATTTTATATTGTGAAAAATTGTAAACACATAGAAAATGGAAAGTATTGCATGAGAAGTGCATGCTTATGACCTGTCAGCATTTTACCATATTTGCTGTGTGCATATCTGTGCATGTATGTAGTCGTAAGCATTCGGAACTGCCAACGACATATTCCATCCCTGTGTGCTTTGTGCATGCTTTCCTAAGGCTGGGACGCTCTCACCCATCCACAACAGCATGATCCACCTAAGAAAACAAGTGATTCCTTAGTGATCTGCGGTAGCCAATCTGTACGCAACTCCTCTCCCTTTTCTCTACAGAAGTTTTAGATCTGGTTTGTTCAAACAAGGATCCCACACATGGCTTGAGAGGAAACCGTGCCCTAAACCACCACACAAAGCTGTCTCGAGGCGTCCTCTGATCCTTAGGAGGAGAACTCACAGGATTGCATTCCTCCCGCATCCCGGTGAGCACAGAGCTGTGCTGCGATAACACAGACGTGGATGTTAATCTCAATGTATGCGGCTGCTACTAGATTAACGACCCTGAGCAAGTTACTTCATCTCTGAAAGCGACTTTTTTTTTCATTTCTACAAATGGAGATTTTAATAGTGACTTCCTTATTTGTTAGGAGTGAGGGTGAAAGCAAATGCCATGGGTTGTGTTTCTGGCACGAGAGCTCAGTATGAGTAGATACAGGGTAGAGGGGCATCCTCTTCCAAGAGCAACTGTGCATGTCTGTGGGAGGAAATGTTAACATCAGCATGTGGGATATTAATCCCCATACATTAGGCAAGAAGATAGTACTACTAGACAGCCATATATATTGTATATATTTTTCCATATCTATGTATATGGAAAACATATACATATATGAAAATATATATGGAAAATAGCCCTTTAAACTCACAACAGGATAGCCCAAATGGATTGAATCATAAAAGGCAGAAAATGATTTCCAAAGGTGCCATACTAGGCCCTTGCTTTGAATTCTGATTGTGAAAGATTTCCTTACTGTAGTCTTTTTGCTCAGTGTGTCCAGAGAGAGGCCAACCTCAGTGAGAACTGAACAAAACATCTTGATGGGCATTTCACTGAACAATGCCTTTTTTTTCCAGTATCCTATTCATAAATGAGGAGTGGCATTTTTTTAACCTATAGAAAAATGATGCAATAAATGGATCAGGACAGCAAGCAGAAGAAAAGCTGTTCAAAATGAAGAGGTAGGAACTCAGGCAGAGTAGGGTTTCATTTTTCCCCTCCTGTACTACTCAATATTTCCAACAGTGGTATTCATTTCATCTTCAAAGACAATGTAACACTATGTTACACAGTAAAGTATGAGCAGTAAACCTATGAGAATCCCATGAATATCCTGAAAACATTTAAAACACATTCATTCGCCAGGGAAAATATAATTATTTTGCTGGCAGGCAGGAAACAGTTTATTAAAAACCCATTGCAATTAGAATTTTAGGCAACCACAAAATAAAAGCTTATCTAATTCTAAAATCCAATTGTAATTGATTTTTCAGCCTGGTCACAGATTCCAAAGTCAGTGACTACACTGATGGAAACAAAGTGCATTATTTTAGTCAAATAGAATCTGTCTAAATATATTGGCTATATGAAACATCGCTGGATGCTGTAATTTTATAAAACTCTTAAACTTACAAATGATACAGAATATGATAAGCTACCAAATATTTAAAACGAGATGCTAGTATACATGAAACTATTAAAGTGTCAAACACGCCTGCTTTCACATGAGTGTCGTTCAAATACTGCAGTTGCTTACTTCTGAGACCCCAATATATCAGACTTGTTACATCTGGCCTTGTCATGGACACGTTCAAGCTGTCTGCCCAGACTATTGGCCAGCACTCCGAAGTTCTGACTCTCCGACAAACTGTGCCTGCCAAGAGGAGGATTTCACAATAGTGTCAGACACCTTCTTCTACTTTGTGAAGTAAAGAAAGACGTCCAGTTATCATTGGTGACGCAGCAGTGCTGAACACTGCAAAGGGGACTGGGTGGGTGTGGCTTTACTACATTTGTAACTTACTTTGGAGGTCTGCACTTCCAGGACTTGGCTATTCAGAGCCTGTTGTATTTTTATTTATTTATTTTTTCCATTTTTGAAAAGGCTGTACATTGTTAACAAATGTTACAGCTGCATTTTAGGGAATTATTTTCTGGTTTTTCTTTCTGAGCACGCTGCTTGTAATGTTTGGGCAGATTTCACCAATCTTATTGTTATTCTCTATGTTTTTGCATAAAATTAGCCCAATTCATTCTAATATAGCACTAATATAAATTAAGTAGTTAGGAATAAACTGCTACTCAATAAAACATAAAGAGTACCACAAAAACCTTGAAGATGTTTTTATTTTTAAAAATCTGACAGATTTACAGGGAGTGATAATAACTACAGAAAAAAGAAACTGTAAAAGGGAAAAATAAAACAGAAAATTATTAGGTAGCCTCAAATCAAATATACATATAGCTATATGTAAGGCCTTTGGAATTAAAAACGAACATGTGGGAGGAACTCCACTGATCACAAAGGGAATTTATGAATCTGAAGATAGCATTGAGGAATTCACTGAAAACATAGACGGATCTCAAGAGATACAAGGAGGGAAAAAACTGCAAGACCTACAACCTTGAACACTAGATTGAAAACCCCCCAAAGTGTTCTGTCATAGTAGTTTTAGAAGTAAAGAATAGGCAGAGAGACAGGAAATGGATTTAGACACTGAAACCATTACCAAAAAACAGGATCATCTTGGCATGACTGTGGAGTGGGAGAGAATATCTAATGGAATTAAAATCCAAAACTAATAATAAACCGTTAAATGAGGTTTTAAAATATTTTTCTAATTTTGGCAGTGTTCTCTATAATTAACATGAGTTGTCAAAAATTGAGCTTGTTTTTATTTTTACTCTTTGAGAGCTATTACCTCTATATTTTTATAGGAAATTTTGATGAGTTTTAATGAAACTTTAACATCATGGATTGTTTTACTTCTTATACTGTGAAAAAAGTTAGCATTTTTTGTGTTCCATAATTTAAAAATTTTAATTACACTCTTGACAGATGAAATTCTACATACTTGCTTGAAATAAACATGCATCGTGGAAAGGCTAGAGTAGCCAATTATGGGAGGGCAAGTATCTCTTGGACATACTCATTTCTTTTGGATATTAAAGTACACACAGTCATGGCAATGATAGTTCCAATTTTTAGCCTTCAAAGAACCTCTGTGCTATTTTCCACAATGGTTGCATAAATTTACATTCACACTAACATTCTTACCAACTTTCCTCTACATTCTCACCAAATGTTTTCTGTCTCATCTTTTGTAGTAGATCCTGAGAGGACAGATGACATTTCATTGTGGTTTTGATTGGTGATGCTGAGTATCTTTCACATGCCTATTGGAAATTTCCTTCTTTTTTTTTTTCAGAAATGTCTATTTGGGTTCTTTGCCCATTATTTTTCAAGAAATATTTTATGCTGACATATGTAATAGCACACATTTCTGGGTTACAGTGTGATAATGGGTTACAGTGTGGTAATAGTATGTATTATCTAATGGTCAAATTAGGGTAAATAGCATCTTTATATTGGGAATCTTTGCAGTCCTTGTCTTTGTTTTTTTGCAAGAACTACTCTTTAATATAAACCACGATCGCCTTACAGTGCTGTAGAACTCTGCAGCGTATTTATCCTATGTAATTTGTATTCTGGTTCCCGTTATCCACCTTGCCTCTGTCCTCACTTCCCCTGTAGGCTTCCCAACCTGTAGTGTCCACTCTACTTCCCATTTTTAGGAACTCAACTAGTTTTGCTTCAGCAGATGAATGACAATATAAAGCATTTGTCTTGGTGTGCCTGGCTTATTTCATTTAAAATAATGTCCTCCATTATGTTATGCTTTATGGGTGGCTATTTCATTGTGTATACACAATGCACATCCTTTCTTTAGCCATTCCACCATCAGTGGGCCTCTAGGTTAATTTAGTATCTTGGCTACTTACTGTGAATAGTGCTGCAATCAACATGACAGTGCAACTGTCTCTTTGATACAGTGGTTTAATTTCCATTGTACATATGTGGACCCAGTAGTACATAGGTAGATCATACATGTTACTTCCTTTATTAGAGTTCCTTCTTAGATGTATGATTTACAAATATTTTTCTCCTATTCTGTGGGTTGTTTTTTCACCTAGTTCATTACATTGCAGAAAGTTTTTAGTTTGAGATGATCCCATTGGTCTATTTTTGCTTCGTGGTTTTAGGTTTGTATTTAAAAAACTGGTGCCCAGACCAATGTCCTGGTGCTTTCCTTCAGTGTGTTCCTCTCCTCACTTCAGATCTTAAATTTAATATTCATTCCATTTTGAGATGATTTTTAACAGGTGTTAAATAAGGTTCTAGTTTCATTCTGCACGTGTATATGCAGTTTTACCACAACTGTTTATTAAAGAGACTTCTTTGTGTGTTCTTGGAAACTTGGTAAAAAATTACTTGGTTGTAAATGTGTAGATTTATTTCTTTATTCTGTTCGACTGGTATATGTGTTTGTTTTTATGCAAGTGCTAGCATTTGGAATCTACTTTGAATCCACACCAATTTTATGACTGTTTTCTCTGAGAAGAATGTCACTTTTGTTTTGACAAGTCTTGTGCTGGATCTGTAGGTCACATTGGATAGTGTGAGTATATTAATATTCTTCGGATCAATGAATATAGGATATCTATTTATATCATTAATTTCTTTTTTTTTAAATGATCTGGTTCTTTTTTTTCCTGTGGGGTTTACAGGTAATATTTGAACTGTTCTTGTAGGGTGCAATGTAGTGTTCATTCTTTGATAAGTGTTTTTATAGTTTTCATTACAGACCTATTATTTATTGAATTTTATTCCTAAGTATTTTTGTAGCTAATGTAAATGGGTACCATTTGCTTGATTGATTTTTGAGATAGTTAATTGTTAGTGCATAGAAAGAAATACTGCTGATCTGTGTGTGTAATTGCATATTATGTAACTTTGGTGAATTTGTTTCTTGGTTCTAGGACGTTTTTGGTGAAGTCTTTAGGTTCTTCTCTATATTAAATCATTTATTCTACATATAGGGTCAATGTAACAACTTCCTTTCCAGTTTGGATGCTTTTTGTTTACTTGCCTTGTCTAACTTCTCTGGCTAGGATTTCTAATTATGTAAGGAGAAGTGACAAGAGTGGGCACCTTTGTCTTAGAGGAAAAGCTTTCAACTTTTCACTACCATGTATGCAGGAACTGTGAGTTTGTCACATGGACATTAGATTGAAGTGTGTTTCTTCTATACCCACTTTAGTGAGGGTTTCTTTTTATCCTGAAAAGAAATTGAATTTTATCAGATTGTTTCCATAACCTGTGAAATGATTATTTTCCTTGATTATTTCAAAATGGTGTATCAC